ACAAATAGTTTTTATTGCATTTTTCAGTATATGTTTTATTAGCTGAATCGTTTTTAAATATTCAAATTATTAAAAATTATAGCATTGGGTCTTTTTATTCGTCGTCGTCGTCACCACCGGCGGCGGCCTTCTTGCTCGCCTTCGCACGTACGCGGCGGACGCGGCCCGGGCGGCCGTTTCCGAACGGCGACGCGTCAGCAAACGCGATGTGGCGTTCGCTGCTCACGCGCACGATGAAGGACGGGATCGTCACGATCTGCTTCGCGACCGCGATGTGGCGCTGTTGAATGAGAACGCGCGCGTGGTGCACTGACTTTGCGAGCCCCGCCTTGAAAACGATCGTCTGGAGACGACGTTCGAGGATATCCGGGACGGTGAGGGAAAGCACGTAATCAAGCTTATCCTTTTCTTCTTCGAGGAAGCCGTAATCGTGGCAGCGGCGCATGATGGCAGCGCCCTCGAGAAGTCGACGGGGGTGGTTCTCCGGCAGGGTGAGCAGTAGACGCGCCGTTCGACGCATCTTCGACAGCGTCATGTTAACCCGCCAGATCTCCCGTTTGCAGCGGAGGCCGTACTGGCCGCACAGCTTCATCTCACGGTCCAGACGCTCCTTCTCGAACGGGCGGCGCGGCGCCTTCCAGACACGATTAAAGTTGTTGTAGTTGCGCATTTCCCTGGAGGATTAACAAAAATAAGACCTAGTAATGTTAGTAATGAGGGATGGGAAATAACAAAAGTTTTAGAACAAGTGTTGGAGGTTAGGAAGTCATTTTGTAGTCGAGCAAAAACAGGTCAGCAAGCAATAAAAGAGCCTTATAAAGAAGAGCCTAATACCGAAAAGAATGAAATTACTCGAGGGGCTTCTCCATACTTTTCATATCACTACAAAAACAGTAAAAAAAAAATACAAGAGCAGCATCGAAAGTAATTTCTTAACTATAATATTTTTCTTTGATTCATTTTGCTGCGGTTCGAAGATCCTGCATGACAGCAGCTAATGCAGGTTCTAGTTCCCACGACGCTTGAACCAACACAAAATCCATCAAAGCCAAAAATGTCTTTTCCGGAGGAAAAGATGTTGAGTTCCTATGGAAGCCTGCGCACTGTCGTTGTGCCCATGCCATGAAAATAGATTTATCGAGCGCACGGCGAGCCACCAGCTCTCGTATGAAGTGCGCAGTTGACACCGAGAAAGTAGAACCAGATAGTACCTCATTAATTATCTTGGTACTTAGGTTAACTAGAGGTTCATCGCTATTTTTATCTTTAAGTGTGGCATTATGTCCTTCGTTATCAACATTTAAGGACATCTGGCCGTTGTCTGATTCGTTACCAACGTTTTCTTTGGACCACAACACAATTCGGGCTAACAGAACTGGGTTCTTCTCGACAATTTTATCAATAAAGCCATTACTAAGAACGTAATTTTGAATCATACATCGTTGTTGTTCGCTAATACGATTCCAGGGTGTCGAGAAGAAGAGATTAGTTTCCTCGCGAAGTTGAGCATCAGTGAATCTTTTTTGTTTCCAACGATTCAGCACCGTAATAAAGGGAGATGTGGCTGCGTCGAACAGAAGCTCAACATATGAATCCCCGGAAATTGAATGCATACACAGTCTAGATGTGGGCAGAAGCACGTGGGTCTCACCGTTTTGTATCGGCAGCGAGGGCAGCCTTGGCTTATATGGCACCTGGGATGGACACAATTCGAGAGTGACCCCTCTATGGCCATCAGTAGCGCGATGCATCAGGATCTCTGGTGCGTGTGTTATGGCTCGGCCCTGCTCCCGTAGGGCTTCTTCCTTAAGTGTGAATAAAAAAGTTTCCAGTTCACATTGCCTATGTTTGACAAACACATCATTAACGTGCTCTAGCACCCGATCATACCACTCTTCCGCTTCCTTTCCGCTTTCGCTCCAGTTCCATGACTCCACCGGATCTGCCCAACGCAGGTGTTTAAATAAGCTGCACTGCGTCGTCAATTGCTCAAGCTGTTGCATAGGGGAGAGTGGGACCGGCACCCCATATCGGGTGGGGTCCTCCATTCCGTCGTTCTCCAACCCTTGGATGGGCGAGCCTCCTTTGTGAGAGGACTCCGGAGCCCCTAGCACCCCCTGATACACCACCTCTGACGCGCTCATGCAACAGAGAAGCATCATCTTCAGCTTCTCCATGAACGTCTGGATTACTCTTAGATTAACCACCTCAGCGGGGGTCGTCTTACTGGAAGTCAAAGCAGCGCCCTTTCCCTTCTTTAGTTGACGAACTTGAACGTCGTGCAGCGTGTCGTTGATCACTGACAAGTATTGCGCCGCAACTTGCAAACGATAGTGATGGAGCTGCATCACATCAGCCTCTGCGTGTGGGAGGGTCCCACCCGATCCCAAGGCCTGAGTGTTGGCGTGCGTGACGCTCAGTGACGGAAAAATGACGGTTGTGGGTTCTCGATAGGTACTCAGTGGGGAGATTTTGGTTACGTTCGCGTCCCGGGTTCCAGTTGAAGGGGTGCTTTCCCGATGGACACTTGGAGATATATTTAAGGCACTATGTAACGCAACCGCTTGTGGGGTTATGGGGGCAGAAGCCGATAGCGAATTGGTTCGAGAATGTGAATCCATGGGTGGTCCATCCATGAAGCAATCGGGGAATAAGAGTATCACCAACGTAAAGAGGTCACGACCGTAGCTTTCCGAAAGGGGCTGATACAGTGTGGAAAAGGGATTATCGAGCGTGTAGGACAGCGAAGGAGAGTAAAACCCCTCTGCAATAAGGGGAGCCATTGTTGCTATGCATTTAGAAGAAGGAAGAAAAACACCATTTTGGATCCTTTGTTGTCGATCAAAGAAAGTAGCCACGACTCCTCCCACAAGGGCGTCATGAATCACCGCAGCAGCATCATGACTCTTCTGACTAGCATATACGAGGACTTGAAGAAGAGCACGGTATTCTGAGAGATTAGTACCGCCTCCTTCAATAGTTGCTGGTGGGTTTGAAGTCCCTGTCATTTAATAAAATAGGTATAAAATAAATTTTTGTACAACTCACCACTAATGCTATTTGCAGATATTGTTTTCGTGTTATTCGGGTTTGAATGATAGCTTAACTGAAGCGCGAGAAAAAGGGAAAAATGACGGAAAAGAGTATATTACGGGTATAGGACACCATTAATTAGGTCACAAAAAGTAGCGTATACATGCAAAAATAGATCATTTGCAAGAGTTACGGTTGACAGAAATCATGACAATAGGCGGATAAATTGACCGCGTGAGGAGTGTGATGAATGATACTTTGTAAAATAAAACTACCTCGACGCAACTCGTTCCTTTCAACAGATCTATCAGGATGATATTTGTCACTGTCTCGACGACTGAAGTCCTATATTTTTTCCCGAAAGAACATTACATACCAATAAAGAAAGAACAGTGGATAATTTGTAGTTCTATCAAGAGGGAAGTAGTCAAGGCAATGGGTATTTAAGATCTCCCACCCATGATATGATGTAATTTCGGTCAACCCTTTTGGTGGAGAAACGGTTCTCGCACAAAAGTTGTTGAAAGCCACTCACCTCATCACTATCATCCCACACGTATATGCCAAAGGGTGGAAAGGGGAAAAATAAAACCTTATGTGTTAATCGACTTCTTCGCTGCCGCCATTTTATCTTCGTCCATCAAATCCCTCCCTAGCCTTAAGAAAATATCATCCTCGGAAAGGGATGCTTTATTTTCAATCAAATCAGCAAACAAATCTGCCTCCTCGTCCATGATCTGTTGTAAAGCTCCACATTCTTTCCCATAATAAGCGTGGAGAGGAAGCGCGTGCCGTTGATCCAGGATGCCCTTAACACGCTCCCACCGTAACTTAAGCAGCTCTGATAGCTTGATTCCACAGCGCTTACAGTCACGTTGAAGGGCCTTGCGATACTCAGGAATCCGGCGACAGGCCTCGCCGTACAACGGCCCCGGCTGCACATATTCACTGAACAAAGGGCAAAAATGCCCCGATACCCCGTCAAACTCCCTCAGACCTTGAGCAAGGTCGGTGGCAACAACGACCATTACTTGCAACGAATGTTCAGCTCCGAAGCGTATTGCGAAATCGCACAACGTCGCGGCGACCTCTTCAGGAGGGAGGCCACGATCAACAGCACGGCCCGCCACCTTTGCCAGCTCGTCCATGCTGGAGTCCTCCTCATGGCGTGTTTCATACAAGGCATGATTGCTTAACACCAGGATATCGCCTTCCAGCATCTCCCAGGTCGCGGTCGTCGGCAGAGGGATAATCTTTTGGTGAACTGGCGAACGGTTGGGGTTATTTTTCATTGACCAATGCCCAAAACTACGCGATACGGTAAAAAAAGGGTTGCCATCGATAATACCACCTTCCTCAGCAGACACCTTGCCTCCGGCACTGATGATTCGACGACGCTCTTCGCCTTGGAGCGGCCGGTGATCCATACTGAGCGGTACGATGCACTCACGGGAGCTATCAAGGAAACTTTGAGGAGTTTCCGAGAGACGACTGCGTGCGATCCCAAAGGCTCGGGAGCTCCCCACGTTAGACACCATAAGATCCAAGCAGTACGGCCTCGGATTCGCCATATTTTTGGGCAGGCCAGTCTCCTCGATTGCGTGCGCTGTGAAGCCATGATCCTTGCTCTGGAAGTGTTTTTGAGGTGGTGGCGCCATACGAGATTCGCATAATTTTTTGGCCTTTTCTCGTCCCCGCTGTGCTTCCAGCTCGAAGGGCGATACCGTCGCCGTGAACCACACCCCACTGCATCCACTTTCGAGGACCTCAGATAGTCTAGGCGTTCTCCCATCATCGCATCCCTTCATATTCTCCATCAAAAAGCTCAGCAACTCTGCTTCTCTTTCTGATACCCGCTTCAGAAGCTCGCTGAGGTTGTCTCCAGTGCGGCCCAGACGCTCCGTTTCACTGGCATCGTCTCTGAGCGATTCAATCCTTTTAAGAAGATGACAGCACTTGAAGAATGCTGCGTCGCCACAAATCGCGTACTGCTGCGAATCCCACTCCGTCATTACGCTTCGCAATTCATGAGAGGCAGGTGCATTCACCGGCCGAGACGTATCTGACCGCGAAGGATCCCAGCTCGACGCAATGGTGTTCGCTCGAAGCGATTGATGTCTATGCATTGAGGTTAGCATCAGCTCAACGAAAGGATCGTCTGGACGCATTTTACGAAGCTCCGCCAGTTCGGATGGAACTATCGTGTGCATGCTCAGCACCTTGGCGATGTAATGCGCCATAAAACGAGATACGGTTGCCCCGGTGTAGCTATCCATCAAACCACCACCTATCATTTCTCCCATCATGGAGGCGGTCCGCTCTGCGAGATTTCCATCGCCGCGATACGTTGAATTATCAAGGGTGTAGGCCTTCCTATTTTTTGTGTTGTAAACGTTAAAGGAATCCATGAAACATCTCGAAGAGGCATTCATAACCTCACAAATACCAACTTTGGCATACGGAAGTGTGAGCCGCTGCAGTTTTTTGTGTTGTAAGGGGAAATGCTGCATGAAGGTTCATGTGACGGAACTATAATGATGTGTATTTTGGAATGCTACGCAGGTCTTGCAAATTCTTTGCCTTTGATTTGATCTAACAATTTGAAATAGCAAAAGGAAATAATTCACTTACGTCTGGATTAGGGAAATAAGGTCGGATTGTCTCATTAGAGACTCTTTTATAGCTCGATTGTAGATGCGTGGTCATATCAGTAGGGTTGGGGTCAGGGAAATGCGTACTATCGCCGACCATAACTCGAGAAAGGTGATGCCAAAACTAAAGCATCCGTCTTACCCCTTACACAAAGAAGAGGGGGCAAAACTCATTCCACATGGTGCACGTCTCACTACCTATCTTCATCTCTTCATCCGTTACATCCCTTATAGGAAAACACCTACTCTCAAACGATATCGAAGGGTATCATTCGAAAAGAGAAAGGAACAATACATACATATATATATATATATATATGTTTGTTTATATATGAAACTGTTATACATGCGGACTCGATGTGGATGAAGTCAGTAATAAAACATCACTAAATAAATTCATTTTTGCTTGTTTCTGCGCTCCCAGCGCTGTATCTCAAGCTGCCACCGTACTTCTCTGTTGATTGCCTCAGCCATGGCAGCGTCGTAATTGGATGCTAATTCACTATCAAATTCAGTCTCCGACGCGCCCGCTAGTAAATTGTCAAAGCATAAAGCGGAGTAGTCCTGCAAAAAGTTTTTACACTCAGATTTGAATAAACTGTCTTCTAGATTACATATTTTGCTCAATTCCTTGCGGGTCTCGATGGCCTCATTGAGTAGTTCGGTTTTAAGACGGCACTCGTGCGCTTCCAATGAGTCCAACATTATCTGCCTTTCTATTTTATCAAGATGGGTTAAACTATTTTTCGCGTTAAACTTGGCGGAGTAACCAACACGTGCTTTGCGTGCCAATAGAAGGTAATCGGAAACCTCAGCGGCTTGAATCTTGCTGAACTCAAGCCGCTGTTCTTTTTCAATCTGGAAACGCTCTCTGAACAGTTCATCCATGTCGTTATCTTCCTCGAATAGGGTAGACTTTCTGATTGGTGACGCTTTAGGCGATACAAGCTCACCTCTCCCTTTGTCCTCCCTCTTGATTAATAAGCCTTCATTTTCCTCATTCATGGAGGGAGGGAGAGAAGCAATCTCCACACAACATAGCGCCGGACCGTCGAGGAAAGGCGATAAAAATGAGTGGACGTTTCCTGAAAACGAGATATGGTTTCCTGCAAGGAAGTGTAGAGTATTTCCTGTCATACTAGGTGATTGAATACGGATTGCTGACTCGGATTTTGTCTGAACGGTGGGAAAGGAACCGTCCAAAGCAGCACTATCTGAAACGGTCTCCCTCGGGTGGCTTCTTCCGAACGCATTCGAACGAAGAATACGGATTCGTTCGGACCGGAGCGTGGCATCGGAAAGGGCAGAATTAATTTCGGTAACCCAAATGGGATGCTTCCTGATATCCTTTTCAGCGTTTTGGTAGGAACTAGACTTATGAGAAGGTATTTCTGCTCCAACGCCGTTATTCGCCCTCCCTGTTGGCATGGACGATGACATCCTTTGAGTCTGCTGCCCAAGAAGGAGTTTCCCCATAGAGAGCCGTCGCTGGGCGTTTGGGATGTCTTGTGCACATATCTCATCACATGTTTCTAATTTGCTGAGTTTCATCATTTTGAAATCATCAATTCGAGTTTAAGGCACGAATCTCCCGGATTTCTTCCGTTTCTGTGTGTCAGAGGAACGAAGTTCAGGCACAATTAGTGGGATCAAAGAAAAGGTCGTGTTGAAGGATCCCGGAAGCAAGGATTCGACCTCCTCCACGCTCTCTAAGTTTTATTTCCCGAATACCAATTTGTCCAGTTCTTTTGCAATTGTGAGCAATATTTCGTGACTCTTGGGCAAACATACAAATAGATACCTCCTCCTCAAAAGCTTGTTTAAAGAGATTAATAAGTACATGAATATTTGATAAAAGTGTGTGTGTTTGTGTAGGAGAAAGTAGGTGGCAACAAAACATTAAAAAAAAGTAAAGCCGTTAAAATATCAGAGAATACTCGTGCAAACACGTCGCATCTAACTATTATTCCTTTGAGAACCGGTATCCCCCTCCTCAAAGGAGGAGAGAAAACAATAAAGATGCACTCAACCCATTCCACACCGCATCCCATAGTAATTTTGGATCGGTTTCTGGGGTAAATAACAGTCCATAATTGATCCCATAAGGCCAACAGCTACACCATCCATAAAGGTGGGTGGCCGCCTCTTCTTCACGAAGGTTGATCCCTTGCGGATTTTGTATAATTCCTCCATTGATTTGTAATGACTCGCGGCGGTTGATTTAGGGGGATTTGTAGCCACTGTTCCCGTCTGCGTTGGGGTGCCAGATAGGGAAGGGGAGAATGAGGCGTGGGAGCTTTCGGCAGGGCTTCCAAGCTTTTTGTAGTCCATCATCCTATCATCTTCCTTCGGCACAAAAAGCTTAACGAACGCGTCATAAGCCACAGGATCCTGCATACTTAACTCCTGCAACATGAAATATTCCGCATCATCCCTTGCGAACTCCCGACATCGACAGTTGGCGAGATAAAATTTGACAGACTTCAAAAACGTGGTCGTCATGAGTGCGATGCAGCCCACAGTCATCATTGGTTGAGAAGATATACCGCGAAGAAGTGTCCAGCGAGAGAAATTGGGGTTTCGCTCACCAAACTTCAGCCCAACAGCAAGGTTAGCTTCCATGTGATCCCTCTTGATTAACCTAAACTGGTAGAGCGAGAAGCTGCCACACAAAAGGCCACCTCCGCCAGAGCCGCATCGAGCCCCAGCAAAGTAATCGGAACCGAAGGAACAAACTATCTCGTCCTCTTCCTTTTCCAACAAGTATTTGACGGCTGAAGCTTTCTTTTTTCCACTAAACGATGCATTAGTCATTGCTAACTTATTCGTTTGCTTTCGCCGCAGACTAACTGCAGCGACATTTATAAGTGTAAGAGAGGAATGAAACATTTTAACACTAAGGCATGCATCCGCCTAGCGATAGACGGAAAATTAAACAATATTTAACTTTGAAAACGATATTTGATAAATTAACAAAACAGAATGAATCATGTAATGAAAGACTAGATGGAATAAAATTAATTCCGTTTTTTTGTGTGAGCTTATCGATTTAAGTTTAAATCAAATTCACGTTTTATTTACTTTCTCACCCACAAATCAATATAGGAATCTTCATAGGGTTCGAGGGACTTCACCGCATGAAATGCTCGCGTGTGCAATGTGAAGTTGTGTGGCTCAAGAAAACCCTTACGCAACTTTTCAGCCAAGTGCGTAAATATTATAATGCCCTGCGGTAACGAAGCCGGCTTTTCGTTTATCGGCATGAGTTCTTCCAGATTTGAGATCCATTTGTTTGTCTGAGATGAATCCTTCGATGTCTGAGTATTGTGTAGTTCCTTTGGCAGCCTGCGATCGTAGCGCCAATGGACAAAAAGCTCCGAGTTTTCACGAAAAAGAGCGTCCTCGGTGATCTTGGGTGTTTTGAGCAATGGATCCAACTCCATTGAGCAATCCAGGATTTGAAAGAGCTCAACCTTGCCGTGAATCTGAGCATATCCCGGCGTGGTGTGACAGGGGACGATCGCATCAATATGCGTAAACGAAATCGGGGATTGACGGATTGTGCGCATCACTGTAACACCCCCTCGTCGATAACCATAACAAAAGAATAGAAGCAGCAACAAATTCACCAATATGCAGAAGAAGTGAATTCGGCAAACTGAATAGGCAAGAGGTTTTACTGGTTTGCATCTCTTGGCCAGACGGGCACTGCAGGAAACGACAAAGCTTCCCAATATTACAAAAAGGGGTAGCATTGGGTACATGAAGCGCATTTCCTTGTGCTTAATAAAGCTCTGTAAGGTCGTATTCCACATCACTAAGCTTACTAAGCAGCACACAATCTTTACAGCTTTACTTCGTCTACGTTCGATGATATTCTTAGATAATCGATGCAGAACAGATGGTAAAAAGCCTAACAGGACGATGTGTGGCCCTAAGATAACGGGTATGCCCGCGATAAAATACCAACCCCACATATGAGTACCATAGAAAGTGCTAATGTTCATAGACACGTTGTACTTGTAAAACTGCAGCGGGGTGAAAATCCACCGGCGGTAAAGCATATAATCCAGCGTGGCCATGAAGGGAATGGTGATCGCAACAGCAAAACAAGTTTGAGCTAAATAACGCAGAATGCGACATCGACCGTAGCTTCGCCCCAGACGCACAACGTGAAATATAAAAATGGGGAATAACGTTATCGCAGATGTGACGCGTAACATGCAGGCTAAATCGGCGAATATGAGGAACCGAATTTCATTTTCTATTTGAATGAGGGCAAGCATGATAAAAAGTGCCTCCGCAACATTAGAGTAGGCGCGGGCGCCGTCACAAATGAGGTACCCATGTGTTAGACTGAAGTACAAAGCCGTCCAGGCAACTGAGGGACAGATAATGAAGGATGTGGGGTTTTTGTGCGCATTCTGTCGTGGCCATGCCTTGATTGAAAGCAATAAATCTTTCAAATGGGTTACTAGTCTGTAATCATCTTTATTTGCATCCGAATCTACATTTCTTAGGTCTTCGTCAAGCGCATGATCGATTATAGCGCCTAATGAAAAAATGGTGTAACTAATGCCAGTTGCAATGATTGCTTGCACAATTCTTTCCGCGGCATACACCATAAAAGCTGTGTCTGTTCCGATTATTTTCAGTAAGTAAAAGGGAATCGCATACAATAAGGGGAAACATACTGATCGAATACCCTCCCTCCACTCCCAGGTTAGTTCTCCCTTTCCAAAGACGAGGTAGTACGCAACTTCAGCGGATTGCCACCACTCATCTGGGCTTTCCTGAGTCCTCAATGAAAACGAAATGAAGGCATGGTATAAGAATATCCAAAATATATGCAAAGCCGAAAGTTTAAGTTTTTGACGATACTTTGGGGAATCAACAGACATTTTTTTTTTTAAGTCCATGATAGGCGAACAAAATAATATGTTGATAGGTATATATAGGATTATATACCGTATGTGGCTTTGCAGAATTTACTCTATTTAAGAAGAAAAATATCTATTAAAAACGCAAAATGCAAACGATGTATAAAACTAATAAGTTGAACATACAAGGTAAAGGATAAGAAAGCATCGTGATGAAGTTGCTCATCTCTACATCAAGAAGGCCATATTCCCAAAGAGCAAAAAGTCGTAAAACCATACACACTACGAACCACGCTTACTGTTCTACAAGTCCTAGAAAAAAAATACAATACTGATAATAATATTACTACCAATGATACTTCCCTAGCATATTACTCACAACCGTTCTCAATTCTAGCTGTGAGGATGAACCCTACAAATTTCACACGCTCCGCTACCATCTTCAATGCCTCTGCAAGTTGGACTTTTCGCCTTCCAGATGCGATGATAATGATACGCCATATCTTGCCCATAACCTTGCGGATCGTTGTACACTGCCATCATATCATTTGCCCACCGCTGAAATTCCGGAACGTATTCATAGCTGCATTGGTGTGTTAGGTGGCTAAGCTCCTCCTTTCGGCTCATTGGATTGGGGTGCCGCGCCGCATCGATGCTTGCCTCACGTTCAGCTTTGGATTGCTCCACGGTGCGATTCGTATAGTGCTTGATTATACGATTTTCAACAACGCCTTTCGCAGCTATAATAGTTCGAGACGAAATGACTAAGGCGGGTACTTGAATCAAGGAAATAAAAGAGTGGCCCAAACGGTGCATCCTTGGGTAAGCGTTTTTCCTCTCCTTTTGCTATATCTACAGGAATAGAAAGATTTCACAGAAATACTTATAAAGCTTGAAATGAATTGCCAAAAGGAAGTGAAGAAAAGTGCTTTTTCCATAGGTAATGATATAAAACGCTATCGGTTTGCCCAATCAACCTTAGATAGCCAATATCGAAGCTAACAACCAGAAAGGTGAAAAAATAACCAATCAGATTACGATGGTGAGCAGTTTGTAGCCTGAATCGTACCCAGTTGCATATGTAGGTACGGAGTATCCTTTTTGTTACTGTTGTTTGTTAAATTTCGTCTCGAATTTAATGTGAATATTCACGCTTAGGATACCGTTACTTTTCCAAAAAGTAGAACAACTGTAGAAAAATAAAAGGAATCGGAATTTATCTGAAAGAGTAATGTTTTTGTAAGATTTTGAAAACCTTCTGACTTCTACAACAAGCAAGGATTTGACTTTCATCAAGAAGAAACACACACAAAAAATGTCGCTCCTCTGCATATGTTTACGTGGAAAATTGTTGTCAACTATTCTTCAGCCTATTCCTCCATTTTAAATCTATTTTGAGTAGCCTACGTTCCTCATCCTTGTCCTTCACCAGTTAGGCATCTGTCGTTTCTTGGGTAACGGCCACATCTGGTCTCCTAACGGGCACATCTAACTCGAGTGAACCAGACGCTACGGCTGCAGACAGGCCACTAGGACTCACAACCTTCTTGTTAAGCTTGTTGTCATGAACATACAGCGAAAATTGCTGTGATTTTTGCAAGATGGTGTCCGGCAGAGTGATCCACCGCGAGTCCTCTGACAGCATCTTCGAAAAGGGAACCATATCAAGTCCTGGCTCCCCTTTCAGAGCCTTTTGTCCATTTTTGAAGTCGTTCAGTGTGAGGGAGCTGCTTCTGTCTTTGGCAATGAAGTAGTAAGTTGAGCACATGGCTAGATATTGGTCATAGTTTTTGTTGATAACCTGTACAAACTTTTCCATAAACTCGGGGGTGGCGGACGAAGCAGGGGGGCTTGACAGATCAGGGGCCGAAGAGGGTGACGATGGGGGAGGGTGAAGAGAAAGATTTACCAGTGGCATCCGCATCGCGCCATCGGTAGTAAAGCTAGTCAAAGCCACACCATGTGGGTGAGAAACCATGATGAGCACGGCTGGAAGCTCATTCCAAGCCTCCGATGATACCCTTCCAACTGCGTGAGGTTCCAATGCATCTAGATAATCCCCAACGGGCAAGCCGAGGACTTGATCCCCACCCTTGACGACAGAAGGGTGGGGAAGGCAGAGTAAAGGATGATACACCCCTTTTACTTGCTGCAAATTATCGAGCACGAGGACTCGTGTGGAGCCGCTTCCGGCACGCGATTGTCGCAGGAGCCTGTCTTTGGGGTCTAGATATCTCGTAAAGGTATCCCTAACGCTTTGAGGGGTTACTATATGTTTTTGCCTGCATCGGAAGTGTTTCATGCTGAAGAATGCAACGGGGATGCGGTAAAGCGATAGAGTTTGAGCTATCATTATGGTTGTGGTTCTTGATGAGCAAGGCAGGCCAAATTTTATTTAATGTCTATTTTTCTATAGGAAAGTCGTATAATGTGAAGTTGTGTTAAACCACCTTCAAAACCTTCAGTATGCTATGAGGCAGAAATCACTGAAACAAAAAAAATGAACCCACTAAAAACAATATAGAAATGGTGGGAATAGAAAAATAATCAAAGCTTTATTCGATGAGTGGAGAAAAGATACACTGCTTATTTGGTCTGCTAGAGGTATATCAAGGAGTTTCCATGTGGCGCGATTCTGATTTTTAAGATCTCTCTCCTTGAGATAAGAGGTCAATTTAAGCTTGACTTAATGCATGAAAATTTATAAAATTGTTGAAAATATTATCGCATTATTATTGGGTCAAATAGAAATATCTAAAAAACACTCACTTCTTCATTATCAGATTAGAACATTGAATTAAAAAAGAAAAAATAGATAACTACGATCAAAGAAAAAGGAGGGGAGAAAAATAACGAGATCCAACAACTAGGATTTCATCACGTGGATAAACAATTTAGCGATGCCACCCGCTACAACACAAACCACAAAATTTTCAGAAATTATTACGTAATTTAGTTAACGTATTATGCTCCAAGGGCCACTTCCTCTCGAGCTCTTCTAAAGGATTCAAGACCGAGAAAGAAGAGGAAGTAGAAATATTAAAATTTGAAACAAGTATATCAGTGTAAGATCAACAAGGCAAAGCCCTCACATTTTTTTGAATCTTCGCGCATTTTCCTCAATGATTAACTTCAGAAAACATAACAGCATGAAGAAAAAGAAAATAATCAAAAAGAAGAGAGAGGAAGTGAAAACCAAACAAACAACATCCTGAGTACCAAATTTTTTTAAAAAAGTGCCACAGTCTTGAATTGCTTACGGAAGATAATATCCCATACGATTCGCACACACCAAAGCATAAAGATGAGCAGTACACCTCCAAGAACGTAGAACGGCGCCTTCGCTTTATTTGGCGGATCAGCGGACGCATCAAATGGGATGCGCACGTTCATGGAAAAGATGCTCTGAACAATCGCCACGACAGTCAAAACGTTAACCATCTCCGCCAGAAGCAATAGCATTCGCAACGATCGATTACCATTGCGAAGCAGAATCCAATAGTAGGAGATGTTGGTGTACCAATTAGCCATCGTAATGGTATCATGGCATTCACAAATTTCATTCTTTAAAGAATGTAGGTAACCTTGGATATTTATGAGCTGTGCGCGGACACTCTGCTCTTGCAATAGAAAGTTTCGCGACCCATCATTCCGTAGAATCTCGGCGACAACGTTTTCACGCCGTATCACGTCAGCGCTGCACTCACCAAAGCAGAGCCGCGTGGACGTGGTGTACTTTAAGAGAGCACCTTGTTTCTTCTCCACCACCTTCACATCAAAGGTGGCATCACTGAGATCGTCAACGGCCTGAGCGAAAACCATGCTATCGGCATTGTGTCCGACGCAGATTTGAAAAAGAGCCGAAAAAACAAACGACGTCGTGAAGCGTCGGGGGGAGGGGGTCGTCATCAGTGCGGCGCGCGCAACCGGAGAGGCGGGGCTGTTATCCCCCCCCGCCGCCGATACCCGCGCGCACTGGATCTGAATCACGCGGAGCAAATCCCCCATCTCGGCAAACGGCTGATTATGGATGGTGAGGATCCAGTCCTGGAAAAGGATCACCCCGATCGTGATCGGATCCGGCACGCAGGACCGAGGAAGTCGCCTTCGGACCGCCTTAAACCGAAGCTCCATAATGCTCTCTTGCGCACGGTCACCCTTATACGGCGAGGCGTCGTCCTTATAGATCGGCTCCATCTCCATCTCCGCCGCGGCCGAGCCGCCCTCACCTTGTGCGGCGAAATCAGGGGGCGGGCTCAGCTTGGCGTGCAGCGGGGTGCAGCTTATGGTGAAAAACATATACCCACCCTTGCTTGGCGCAAGATGGCTCATATCCACGGAATCCTGCTTTGACAAGTAAAGACACTTATCCACCACACCCTTGTGGATTTGGAAAAGCGCTAACAACTGTTTAAGCTTGATCACTGATTCCGGGTTGTGGGGCTGGGTTTGGATGTCGATCCATTTGGTAATCGGCTGCGCGATCGAATTCGTTCCAAGGGGCGACCTCGGGGAGAGCGGGCTGCTGAAGTGCATAGAGGACTGCTCGTTGCTGGCGACTCCGCCCCTTGCGGGGATACTGAAGGGAGACATTGGGGATTCTTTTGGCTGACTCCTGATGAATTCAGGTAACTTTATCTCGCGTGATTTGATAAATTTTAGAAACCCTTTGACGGTGCTGAACATTCGGGCAAATGGTGCGATGCCATCGCTGGTCTGAGTCATAAACCAAAAGTGATCAGCTGCATCTTCGATCGACACCAAACGGGGTACGCTTCGCTTAGGGAAGCAGGACGATAATTTTCCTTCCCCTGCTTCGCGTTGGGCGCCGGGGAAATTCTCTTCATCATCTTCACTGCCTTGTATGCGAAGAAAGACGCTCTCACTTCGCTTCCCACCAGGTTTCGTCGCTGATCCATGCTCGATATAGAGATCACTTTTGCGAATATGATTCTGGACCTCTTCTTCAGTTGGCTCGTGAGTGCTGAAGCCACCAAAATCAAGCACGTCGTTGCCATCTTCTTGTATATATAGACAGCTCAAGAGAGCGTAGTCAAATGGGTAAGGGTCGGCAGACCTCGGGTGATGATGGCGTCTTGAATGAGACTTCATGGTTAAAAGGGATTGAAACTGATACCGTGGTTGATTGACCTTTAATATAGGTATATAATTGGAGAGATCTGCATATATATATGAGTGCTAATGTTTAGAAGCCTTGTGTGTTTTTCTTAATACAATAACAAAATAAACATCAATGCTATACAAATCTTGAGAATAACATGCGGATTCCGAAACAATAGAAGTAAAGGTAAAAACGAAAACTACTACCAAAAAGATAAAATACTGGGGAGAAATAAAAGAGACTTATGGTATGATACTATACCGGCAGTACACTGAATCGAGCCCGTAACCATATAAATGTTAAGCCCAACTTGGTAGCATGAATGTAATCATACGAAAGGACAGATGTTTTTCTTTTCAGTGCACTACATGTGAAACAATATTCAAAGGAAAATCTCAACACACATGGATAATGTCAATCGCACCTTGCCTTTTTGTTAGCTACAGACCTTCATATGAACCTGAGAACGCATCAGTTAACAATCTTTTTCAGATAGCCTTGAAAGCATAAAATAGTCTTTTGTGCGTTATCAGGCGTATATTGATAATCGCAAATACGAGGTACTAATAAAATAAAAATGCATTATGAACGTGTTTTTAATCAATCGGATAATTAGTGAAAAAAAACCAAACTCTATTACCCAAAGGATTGGAGAGGATCTGAAAGCATATAAGTGTACAAAATAATAAATGTATGCGTTTAACTATAAATCAGTGCGGAAGCGTAGCTGACAGATGAATCCTTTGCGTTCTGGCACTTGTTAGACTGCGAATAGCTAACAAAATCCACGGTCACTTTAGATGCCAGCTTGTTCACCCACGCATTCAACCCAATTCCAATTGGATTTCTCCCACAAATGGTATTGTTGGTTTGTTCCAAGTAGTCATACCAGCCGTCGATATCCTTGTTGTGGAGCAGGCTTATCGCTCGATGATCCAAAGCGATGATGGCCTCGCCGATATTGGGATAGGTGTCTCGCTGATAGTGGTAAGTATACCGAAAGCGGGAGCCCCAGTGGCAGAAATCAGAACTTAAGATAAACACGTTGCTGGGATCGTTTAGATACTCCTGAAGTGCGTCCGACATTCGCTCTTCGAGCCCTCTGTCAGTCCAGCCGATGATTATGGGCACAATACTCACCCGCGACACTGCTGCCGCCTGCGCCTGGCCCTGAGGAAAGTGCAAAATGTAGGAAATGAAGGGAAGCTGCATTTCGATGGAGTGTTCCTCCTCATCCACCTGTTTCGTTGTCCAGTTGGCTGGAATACCGGCCTGGGAAAACTTCCCTAAAACCGCCGCGGCAGTCGTGATGTCCACCGAGACGGGGCCGAAGGGTGTTTCATACGCTGAGGCATGAGAAACTTCTGCACCATTAAACCCTTTGTGGTGGGAGGGGCCCATAATGAAGATGCGCTTTGTTTGGTTGCCACCACCATAAAGATAATCATACAATTTAGAGTAGACCGCGCTAGCTGTCTTTCCCGAATATGAAATACCAGCGTGAGGAGAAATGAGTCCATGAATAACGTTATTTGGAGAGCGAGTCAAATGGGAGCTACGACTCGCTTCATTGAACAAGCTGCCAATGAACTGCTTCAGTGCTATGGGAGATGCATCATACCACCCATTGCCTTCAGGTGCGGAGTGGGAGGCACAACGAGAATACGACATATGAATAAAGAAATATCAACACTGTAGCGAATTATCAAGATGAGGAAGAAGACAAGGCTCGTATTTTTCTCAAAATTAAAGCCAGAGTAACTACTATATCGGCTAAGGCATATTTTCTACAATAATCACATGAAGAAAGGCGTTGACTACTAAAAGCAATTTTACACAATCCGATGCCATAAATATAATAAAGGCACTAATGTAAAAACCAAGCGTAGACACTCCACGCACACAAACCCATAGTTACGTGGACAAACATGCGTATATAGTCATATGAAGTCATTGATAAAATTCAAAAGGCATTGTTCACTTGGTATTAAACAGTCACTGTTAACTGTAAATCATGTTAATATTTAATAAGTGGTGAACATAATCATACTTCCTTACTTTTGTTAATGAGAAAAATACGATTTCTTTCCATTTTTGCTGCGCCAAACAATAATAAATCTATTCATCTTAGAGATAGGCAAGAAATATAAATAAAAAAATTACATATGAATTATTCCTAATCATACGAATGCTTTTTAATGTATTTTATGACATACTACTATTGTCATCATATAATAATATATATATGTATAAGTTGACACCAAGAGATTTACTCATTTTGATCCCCCCGCTGATTTTCTTGCTATAGATGCGTGACTCCTCCTTTACACTGCTCCACACGAGGCACTCGTGTCGATATCTAAGATGTTAGCTACCGGACGGTGATCGCTGGTGTAGACACCCGGCACGTCTGTGTATAGGCGAACTGTAACGTGTCCAGCGCTGGAGCCATGCGTTTTTTTAAATAAAATGCGATCACAATACGCCGGCATTCTCATTTTCTTGCGAGAGAAGTTACGCTCATTCAAAATGATGCTACCTGAAGGGTGTATTTCGTACTTGTACGTTGGCCTAAAATTTATCCTCCCCTCTTTGAAATGATGAAACACCGCCTTTTTCGCCCTCTCCTGAGTCAGTTGATCGTTATTGATGAGAATCGAACGGATGTTACGGTGGCGTTCAACAATGGATTCGATTGCCGAGCGTGTACCGTTTATTCTATAGTTCAGGTCCCCACCGAAGATAGTGAAGTCGAAATCCTCCGTAACGTCGTGTCGAAGCTCCTTGTTCTGACCTTTTGTGGGGAAGGTCGAAGGAGAAGGGGGCTTTAGCTCAGGTAGATGTGGTTCCCCCCTCTTGTCCAGCGATGAGTAGGAGGTGGCACTCGTTTCGCCATCCCCCTCTCTGTCATTTGAGTCGGAGTCCCTCTCAACTAGGTTTGTTTCGAAGGGGCGGCGGACGTTTTCAGACAGTGGTTTATTTTTTTTCCTTTTTTCAATCAATTTCTTAAAGAATTCATGATATTTCCCACGAAGACCTACACGGAGTTTGTGCACAATGTGTCGGTAGTCCATGTTTCGATCCTGCACAGCACTCTGGTGTGGCGCCATATGAGCGGAAATGAGCAAGAGAGTCAGAAAAGGCGGATTCAATGAGGGTTGGTCTAAGTGCGGAGCGACATCTATGGTCTTCTCAGGCGTTTGTGGTTGCACCATGAGGGCTAGAGATCCAATGGAACGTGTCTGCTGCTTCGATAGGTCTGAACAAGAGTCTTGAGAAGGTAGAAAAATCTCTTTCTGGACAGAAGTTGTATTATCTTTTTTTTCAGCCTTATATCCCACACTAGAGGTCTCCAATCTCATGTTAGAATTCCAACAGAATAAAGGTCTCACCTGTGGAGTCCCACCAGGAGCCCTCAAACCTTTCGGTAAATGGAGCTTCATGTCAGGGGTGGGGGAAGGTGTCATAATGTTATCAACATCACAGAAGAGCTCATTGCTGGGATTCTGAACTCCAGTGTGGCTTTGGTGCCGAGGCTGAATAGATGGAAGCAATATCCCCTTTTGGGGTACGTTTAATATGCCGACCGAATTGGACAAAGTGTCACGAGTGCGGTTGCGATTGGGGGAGCACTTGGATTCGATTATAGTAGGGGTAACGGGGGATGCATCGAATGGTTCGGATGGAGACGGGTAAAATGGCTCCTGCCGGGGGGTCATTGACAGCGCTAGGGCTAAAGCCACGGCGCCCTTGTTGCCGCATATGCCGAACAACCCCCTTCGAACCTCGGAGCCGTGAACATGCGAAACGTAGCCGGCCACATCACGTCGACGCGCAAAGAGCACAAGATGAATTCCCCACAAACATCTGGTGCCGACAAGCGCGTATTGGTTTTTAAGACATCTAGATGCAATATCTTTCACCCAGCGCGAGTGACGTTGCTGGTTGTTCACGAGATGTCCATTCTCCTGAGTCCCTACAGCAATCAGGTGCGCATTAGGGTGAATGCAGACAGATTCCACTTCATCCATTCTCGGCCTCCGTTTTGCCATGTTCCACGTGGTAAAAGAAATGCGAAGGGGCTTCCCAGGACGCCAATAGCTATCCTCCCCCTCGAGTAAATCATCCGGGCATGCGATCGGAACTTTAAACGTTTCAGATTGGATCGTGAATGGGATTTCTATTAACTCATCATTTCTTGAGTCCGCAACAAACGGAAGATCGATAAAATCAATGAGGGTGGAATTCTGCTCCCCCATTTCAGTACGAACGGGGCTGTGGCTGGCGGTAGGGGAACAGCTCGCTTCCACCCAATTGGGCAACCTGGGGCAACTTTCTCCCACTGGATCTCTATAAGTGCCAGCATCAGATTCACAGCTAGGGTTTTTATTCACGGTCTTGTGGGTGCGTGTTGTTTTTTGCTCGTCTTCTGCAGTCAGATTAGAGCCTGTTAGCGTGGAACCATTACATCTGGCTTGCGCTTGCACACATACAGCCTGTATTTCATCCAAATCACCTTTTTCAGAAAACTTATCGGTTTCCGGGAGGGAAATTTCTTCTTTTTCGCTCATTAATTTCTTTCTACTACTGGAGACATCAGTTCCTACTCGACTGTTAATGTCCATTTTGCTGTTAAATGTATCACACAAAGAAACAGTTTCGCCGCTCCACACTGAATTCTCGGAAATGGGCACCATGCAATCAAAATAATAAAAATTATCTCTATATTTCTAACCTTTAACACAGTATGAGATCCTCATTTGGAAACAAAGAAAAGTATTTTAAAAATGAATGCTGACGCTGAGCTCAAGCGTTAAGATTTGTTTCTTTGAAATGTGTTTCCTAAAGAGCTTGTTAAAATTCTTATTGCCTCGAAAGACAGCGATACAGGTGAACATGTAGCACAATGAACAGGTTTAAAAAGTCACAATTGAAATTTATTATGGTTCAACAAAGGACTCAAGTGCATTTCTTTTCACTTTAACCTGTTTATAGGCAGACTATCATGGCGTTAGGGGAGAGCTTAAAAAAAAAAGTTTGTGAAGATTACATACCGACCAAATTCTTTGGCCGTGTTTTGATCTCAGTTACCGCTTCATTCTTTTACTTCCCTGCAAACAATGCCACATTCCAGATAACAAGGACAAAATAATGAAGAATCAAGGCTTTAAATAAGATAAAGTCAGAAGGAGAAGAGATCTAAACACAATGGTCAAACGCTCGATGTGCCCTACTGAAAAAAGAAGTATATAAAAAGGTTAGCACGGTCCCCATACGACTCTTCCGGTACTAGCTTCGTAGAAGCAATGACAAAAAACTAAAAGGGCTCAGTCTAACGCCTTAGCTATAGGTCGCCTTCGTTTCCTTTTTGATTATTCTCAGAGGGATGCGTCAGGGGCTCACCTTTAGGCACTGATAGAGGAGGCATTTTTCGCGTGCTGAAACTTTTGCCAGCTGAAGCAGTTTGAGCTTTCGAATTAATTTGGTAAAAATCGACGAGATGATCTTCTGAAAACGAACCATCAAAATTGAAGTACATCTGAGCCTCACCCATTAGTAAGACTACAGCAGGGAGACCACTTGGATCGGCGCCAAAGAACCTCATCACCTCTCCACTGACTGCGGCATCGACAACTACAAAATGAAGTCGTTTCAGCATTTCCGAGCCCGTCGACCCCACAATTTTATCCGCAACACCCTTCAAAATTGAAGTTGCATTCTCCATGAGTGCTGGTTCACTAAAAACTATCAAACATTGATGCCCTTTTGACAGGACAACGAAGTTTTTTTCCCATTCCGCTTGCGTGCGCACCTCTACAGGGGGGTTGTAAGAAGTCGATGGCTGAGAGGTCTCCTTTTCCATCCAATTAAGGATCTCCTTTCGCTCCTTTTCAACTTCACGAAGGATGTACAGGCGTCTTTCCCAGAGTTTCTCAATTGTTTTGGGATTAATTCTTTCCCCTGACTCACGCATAACATTAGCAGACGCGTCTGGAAGATCTTTCAAGAGAGTATCCATGATACTATGAACAGTACTTTTTTTGGTAACAGTTTGGAGGCGGTGTACCTCATCCTCCACACCCGTCTTTCCGCCATCACGACGGTGCAGCACGAGAAACGCAGGCAGCTCACTTTCTTGGCTGATGTTGTACCGCTGCGCGAGCACTTTTTTGTTTGGATCGCCCTCAAAAGCGTTCACAACTACACCAAACACCGCGTCTTGTTGCATGATTTGACTCAGGACACGATACACTGGCCCTACATAAGGTTCCTTGGTAAAGTAGAGGATTCTGGGCAGTTGTGAATACTGAGGCAGTTTTCTAAACCAATCAAAAAGATCATTTTCGTGATCCAGACGTGTGATGAAGTCTGGAGAGATGGATTGTAATATCCAGCGCAAGAGCGATTTGAAGTCCAGTTCCCCAGTAAAAAACTTTGGCAACTTTGTCAGAATCGAAGAGTTTGATGGCGGAGCTTCAAGAAATCCATCAAAAAAAATTATAGCAGGGCTTTGGAAGCCGTACATTCTTTTAAGACTCTGACCAACTTCTGATTGAGAAGTCACGTAGCCTACCTTGATAAGAAAATCATGGAGGGAGTCACTCAGCTTGTTAATCAACGGTTCCCACACATTTTTCCGTTCAAAGGAGTCCTCATCATTAAAAACTACGACTACCAGAGGAGTGTGTTGCGACAAGGTAGTCGAAGAGAATACATCCATGCTTGGAAAGGTTAACACACCTGGAGCAAAAACCGCATCGTCCAAGGTGACGTTGTCTATGGCTTGGCATGGAAGACAACCACAACAAAGACAAAACAACACCAAAGACAGATACAGAACTAATGGAGAGCGCGATGAGAAGGACAGCAGAGTAGGGAACATTTTCTTTTGGTGTAAAGAATGAAAAAGATCAGCTGAAGACTTCTGCTAGAAGGTTAGAATATTGCTCTTTAGCCTTTTCAAAACAAAAAATGTCCGTTAAAATCTGAAGTTGTCAGATGTAAATGAGTTGGTAAAATTACTTATTGATTTTGAGCTGAGCCTATGTAAAGCAAACAGGTATGATAGACATAATACAAGTGATAGGGATTAATTTGCTCATTTTAATTGTTCCTTGCTTTTCACACGCACAAAAGCATATGAACGAATATAAGTGCTACGACAATGACAGTCATCAACACAAAACTAAGGCTCTTTTCTAGTACTAGTACTACATTACTCCTAGTTCTACTGTTGCAATCGGTCTGCACACAAGCAAACAATATATATATGAGAACACAGAATATAAAGTCAATAGTTCAAAAAGCACTGAGAATCGACCCAGTACAGCAACACCAAGCAAAATAATTCCAACTATTTGACAGAAAATAGAAACAGACTAGCGCTTCTCCCGCCCATCATTCCTTATTACCCGCCTACTGTATTTCAGCATCGGCTAGAGTTTTCTCGCGTGCGTCGCGTTGTTGGATGTAGTTGATATATCCGAAACGACTTTGATTCATGTACCAGACTTCTCCCTGATTTGGAAAATCTTCTAGTGGTTGTTGCCACCAGAAGCATTCATTCTCCCAGTCCCGGGGCACTCCGAATGGACGGATCATATGACGACCCGGGTAGAACATGTTGCTCATTACCGATCGCATGCACGTAACGGACATGGCATTTCGAGCGAGGTAGTACAGGGTACCGAAAAGCATCATAAACAGCGGAATCTCCAGCCAACCCGCGCGCAGGTTGTTATCAATCCAGGAACGGTACCAGTTGTACCTCTCCACTTCGGATACTAGCCCATCCTCCTCGACGCCAAAATGGAACTCCTTCTTGCACTGAAGCTTCGGGACGTGGTACCCGGGCGGCGGCCAGTCCGGATTCCACGAGCGTGTCCGCATTGTCGGCTGGATTTCATCCCACTTCACGATGGTATCACTCCAGTGGTACCAGGTCTGACGATTCAAGAGCTCCTTCGGGACGCTGCGAAAACCAGGCCGATTCTTCTTCCATGCCTCCCCTGGGTAGTAAAACTCCTTGGCATCCCACTGCTCTTTCACGGCCTGGGCAGCGGCGACCTTGGTGTTTGTGCCGGGTTTCGTATACTCGTCAAAGTACTCGTACAAACGGTAGTGTCGCGGGGTGTGCAGACTCCCCTCGTTTATGGTGGAGTTGTCCTCGCGTTGGCCCTGGAAAAAGCTCTCACGGCCTTCGGTGCTACGGAATTCGGAGGAGGAGTTGATATTTTCATCCACGCGGTGGTAATCCCACTTGTCGCGTGGCCGATCGGTGAAGTATCGCAGGTTCTCCAGCTCTTCTTTGGTGACTTTGGTCGATTTCGCACCGTAGGGCAGAGACCAGCTGTTGGGGCTCGCAAAGTGAAAGCCGTGGTAGACGCGTTGTGAAGCTTGCAACACACCACTCAACGCAAGTCCAGCCTGAAGCGTTTCCACGGTCGCCCTCAGGGCTGCGGGTCGTGGGCGGCAACGGAGTTGAGAAATCATGCTCAAACTCAACCGGTGCTCACTTTCAGTTCCTATTATTCTATTCTACTCCTCCTACACTATAGTGGGGTTAAAACGATGGAACTCCCCAATAGTCGATAGACACAATGTTAATAAATGCTAATCTATCAAAAAGTAAAGACAAAAAATCCTAGTGTACTACTTATACTAATTGAAATTAAAATGAATCGCTACAAAGAGGAAAAGGCCGGATAAATAGCTATTTTTATTCTGCTGTTCTTTCTTTACAAGGAAACTAGCATGTTTTGCTTGCTAAACTAGAGGTAGCATATCGTTTATTGCATTGCACTTTTTAATTCTTTTTGGACATGGATGAATGATATTCAGTTCGTTTTTCATCCAACCAGTAAAATTATAGATAGCAGAAAAAGAAAAATTGATTTGCTAAATTTACAATGGTTATCCTTTTTTTTCCTTTAAGGGGGATATGGTGAATGGTGCCATAAACGCGAGTAACCAGAAACATATCGATATGTCCGCCTGCTTTAAAGGTAATTATATATACATATATATATATATATATATATATATATGTATGTATGTATGTATAATGTAAAAAAGTTAGGAAAGATGAAAAGCTGATAAATAATAAATGAAGAGGGTGGCGTGAAGGTGATGGAAACCTCAAGAAAGCAGAGCACCGACCCTATGCATCTGTACATACGCAAATTTAAAATTTGTACAGAACATAAGCACATGTAAAACAATACCAGTCGAAACTCATTACGGGGCCAATAGCTCTGAATGACCCCACGTCGTTGGCGCATCACGAGTGGCCTCCGGCCTCTGCCGCTTTACCTTACCGCTGTGCGTCGCAACTATGCCACTCATACGCTGCAATGCTTCGTGTTCGGCTACCGAAAGCATCTCAACGACCTGCGGTTGGCGCAGGAGCCCTTTCAAGATCGTCGGAGAGGGGGGCGCCTCACACAGTTGCCACTGCGTGTCGTCCGGAACGACTTCCGCGGCGTCCTCGCCGAGGATCTCAGGTGAGGCGCCGCATTGGTATTGTGTTTTTGAAGGCTTTTGCGTCGCCACAGTAGCGTGAGACCTCGTGGCGGCCCCACTGCCCCCACTTGATCGTCTGGGATCCGCCGCCCCACCGCCACGTGATTTGGTCTGCGAAACCCCGCGCCCCGTCATGCCATCACCGCCTTTCTTGATCTCCTTGAGGTAGCCTTCCGCCAGCAGCTTCTGTACAACTTTAAGGATAGTGGTAGGCCCAATCTCAAGCGGGCAGGACTCACGCAGGTAGTCTTTGAGCTCCGAGAAAACCATTCGGCCACGACCTCCACCGCTGGACGAGGTTTTTATAAAGATAAACACAACAACCATCAAATAAGCCACCTCGCTCATTCGAAGTGGAGGGGGCTTCGAAAGCAGCTGTGCGAGTGGGGTGGTCGTATCGACGTCGGCTGGCCCTGAGGTCGCGGCCGTACGGCATCGGCTGGTGGAGCCGTTCCTATTGTCCTCAAGCGCCGGTTGATTCTCGTCTTCGGCACGATTGCAGCCATCGACTCGCTTAAATGGGTTACTTCGTATCAAAGAAGGATTGACGAGGCCGGTGGATGCATCGTTGAGCCACGAGTTTACCGCGGTGCCGCTTTTGTCGCTTTGAAAGGGCTGTTCCTTCCCTTTTTCATGACGGAGAAACTTGGCTTGGACCTTGGAGAGAAGTGGGTGCCGGATGGAGACGGAGAATAGGTGGTGGCTAGTATCCATAGAACCGATGCTCACGTTGTGCTTTTGCTCCTCCAGGTAGAAGCGCACCATACGCCCACTGGCTGGAGCAAAACAGGGCGGTTCATAATCCTTTGGGGTGACCTCGTCATAATAAGTCAGACGCATTGTCAAGACTCTCTCCTTTAGAAGAGGTGGAAGACTCTCCACCACCTCCACAAGTTTCGTGATGATTCCGGCTAGAACCTCCTGCACCTCCTGCTTTGAGCACCGCCGCCTGCGGAGCGTCGACAGCGGTAATTGTCGAGGCCCATCTGCGCACTGCTGCTGAATCGCTTCGGCGCCCGTCGCGGTGGTTGGTAGCACTTGCTGAGACGAAGACAACGTCATTCGCGCATGTTGCCCATCATCACTATATGTAAAACCAAAGCAGTAGCTCTCAAGCGTCTCAGAGCAATCGCCGTTGTACACACACAACGCCATCTCCTTTAAGTAGTTTCTGTTCAGAGCATCAAACGCACCCTTTTCAATCCATCTGGAAATGGTAGTGGCCTCCAATGAATTTGGAATGATGTGCTTGAGTTGCAAGCCCAAAAAGGTTCGTTGTTCAAACGACTCATCACTGCACAAGCCACGGGCGTACGTGATGCAGGAAATCGATACACGAATGAAGTTACGAATAGCCGCTAAGCTTTGGGCTTGCGTAACCGCGGCCACTGTTGTGGTCATATAGCAGTAGTAAAGAAAATGAAAGAATGAATACTTACAAAACTATTTCTAATAATAACAACGTTACTATTATTATATTCAGTGAACTACAAAGTTTATGAGTTTTCAAATTGTTAAAGGCAGGTAACCTGTATATATTTGCGTCACTAATAAAATAATAATTAAAAGCATAGAAGAGAAACATCATTGGAATGCAAAAACACTTCAACTAGAGACAAATAAACGCAAACATAACATACTCACCTGTAAACCAACTGCATACCCATTTTTAGAAAAATTTTATGTAAATGACAGAAAAAAAGACAAGAGATGTCTTTACAGTCCTCTAGCTTTCAGTCCG